GTCAAGCATCACTTATACTACTTACATACCAAAAATCACGACAATACGTCAACCGGTTCTTGAGTTATCGTCCTTCAAATTTTTTCAACAAATGCTCCTGCAGTTCCAGAACAAGGCGCTAGGGGACCCAAACTCACGTCACTTCTTCCCTACCACAAGAGCTATCTACCAACCAAAATTCGTGACCCTAGCATGTCCAGAACATGAGATATACAAAACCGGAAGTTCAGCTGCAGTACCTAGGAAAGCCGCCAGGGGGCCCAAAATCTAATCATTTCTAGGTCTCATGAAGACCTACCCACCTACCAAGTTTCATTCCAATCCATCCACTGCTTCTCGAGTTATCTTGCTAAACCACACACACACAAACACACATACATACATACACACAGACAAACGCTACTGAAAACATAACCTTCTTGGCGAAGGTAATAATAATAATAATAATAATAATAATAATAATAATAATAAACCGTTACATAGATCTATATAAGTATGAAACATTAGGCGTTAAATAGTGGATGTGTTATAAAATAAAAGCACAACGCAGATAAAAGTATGTACTCAAATCTAAAGTATTTAGGTATCTAGCTTATCAATCCACTGTTATCATCAAGTACAGTCATTCCCAACAGTCTGCCTATTCCCTCGAATCCCTAACTATTTTATTGTGTTACGAAAGCTCCTCTACGCGTCAACATATTTGATTTTTTTTTAGTTTTGCTATTGAAAATATAGGCCACAGCAAGTAAATTTTATGGATGACATCCTCCACAGACTCCAAATCAAATGCGAGCGGGCGAAAAAACAAGGCGGGACAATATAAACAAGGTTCCTACATTTTGACATCTTAAACCTTGTTTAACAAGAATTGTCACTGAAAAAAAGTTTTCAAGCATTGCACAAATTGTTTTAATTCAGTGAACATCACATATAAAAGGAATTAAATGCATCACTGCATCAATTTGAAAGTAAAAGACAAAACAATCAATCAGAGTCTTGTCTTGTCTCCTCTCTTCATATTTATCTGCCATCCACGTTCCGGCATGGCAACAGACATCTTTGAACATTTTCGTCATGTTGACCACTTTAGGGGGGCAACAAAATTTCTTGTTCCTTTTTTTTCTCAAAATCAGGCAAAAATTAGTGCCCGCGCTCATGTCATCCATAAAAATTACTTGCTGTGGCCTTAGAAAAAAATGCACAACGTTTGACAACCTAAGACTATCACTGCGAATTGTAGATACTTTCTACCTCCTACATATTAGAGATTTTATGCTACTTCTTTGGCCACCACTGAGTAAACGGATACATACAGGCTCCATATGTCCACCAGAACGCCGCTGTACGGCTCGGCGCGAAGTATTTCGGGAGCCATGTACTCCAGTGAGCCACAGTACGTTTCCAGGCGTTTCATTGGTCCGGCATCTCTCATGTACCCCTTCGTCAGTTCCGTGGCAAAACCGAAGTCTGCAAGTGTTTGAACCGAACATTCATGACTTTCACACTTCCCATAATGCCTAGTAAAGATCACGTATATGACGTAAGAAGCGGATATACGTAATCCGACCGTGCGAGTAGGAGAGGCTTCGGTAGAACGATAGAAGGTACGTCATTTTCTCTAATTCCAACAAAAATGCAATGCGCTTTATACTAGATAAATAATTCAAAACAATATAGTTTATATTTGTATAATACAAAACCGGCAGTGAAACAACTCTATGTCAACTGTCACCCTTTATATAAACATAACACAGAGACGTTGCATCTCCTTGATAAATAGTAAATGGTGAAATTTGACGTAGAAATGTACTTTGACCACTTAGTTCTTACCTGAAATCTTGACGTTGAATTTTCTATCCAGTAGAATGTTCTCGTCTTTAATATCTCTAAAACAGATGGCGAAAAAATGTTACTGAAAACTTGACTTTGTATATTTTCAACGCAATGATCATACTAGTAATAGATTCAAGCACCAATTTTTTGGCCATGACCCTTTGATTTGGTACAATAATCGCACCTTGGTGATGCTAGACTGTGCAGTGTGCACATAGTACATATCTCTAACACAACATCGACCGCAAATCCCTAGAAGGTCTTGATTCTTTCATGCTCAGGCTATCATTCACCAGTTTCCCATCCCCAGAATGCAATGCGAAAACAGGGGGCTAAACCTCATTTGTATTGGACAGAAAGGCATCGGATGATCCTGGTGACGTTAAACAACTTGTTTTTCAGTGTGTTTTTAGGTGTTAGGGTATTTTATGCTCAAGGTTAATTGAATTACTATGGGTTGAATCTGACAACAAATAGAGAATGAATTTTTTGGAATGACTTGTTTGTAACGTTATATGATGCTATAACGTTACAAACCACATGTTCCATGTTGAAAAGAACACAAAAACTTCATTTGTTGTTAGATTCGGCCCATAGTAATTTAATTAATGTTGAGCATAAAATGCCCCAACACCTCAAAACACCCTGAAAAACAAGTTGTTAAACGTCAACAGGATCATTCCGATGCCTTCCAGTCCTATGCAAATGAGGTTTCGCTAAGCATTCTGATTTTGAAATTTAGACAACGTCAGGCAGTGGAAACGACGCCCCCCCCCCCATTTCATGGTTACGGGCACGTGGATGTATCACAGACCACCGCTGACCTGTGCACGATGCCGCAGCCGTGCACGTACTTCAGCCCCTCCACAAGCTGCTTGGTGAAGCGGCAGGCCACGTACTCCGGCAGGCCGATGCCCCTCCCCACCCGGCTCCGCTGCACGAACACGCTGAGCTGGCCCTCCTGGGCGTACTCAAACACCAGGTACTTCCGCTCGGGCGTCTCAAAACACTGGTACAGGTAGATCTGTAGGGATGGCGGGACGGTCTAACCACTGATTTATTAGGCCACACCAATCTGATTTGTTGGTTCTCGGATTTGCCTCTTCATTTTTTTCTCATTTGGCCATGTTGATTTGATTATATGGATGACATCCGCGCGCGCATGAATTTTCGGCCGTTTCCAAAAAAAAAAAGTTTTCAACCATACTGTAAATCGTACAAAACAGTTGCAAAATTAGCAAAAATATACCATAAGTTACAAAAAAAATCAATAAAAACTATACCAATGTCGTAGAATGCCAAAATCAAACGAAAAAAGACGAAATTGTAAAGAAATGAACTTGAAGACTAGATTATTCGCCAAACCATATTCTGTGCCATTTGCTCAACCCTCATGACCACGTAGATTTCGACATAATGAAAAGAACTTTTTTTTTTTGCAAAACTTTTTTTTATTCGCACGCGCGCATCAGTTTTGGGGCTCCCGGAGGATGTCATCCATATAATTAATCAAATCAACATGGCCATTTGCAAAAAAAAAAAAAAAAAGATTCTGGTTCTGAATCAACTCAAAAATGTGCTCATATATTGCCCCCAACAATTGAAGAAAGTTTGACCTGTTTATTCCTTGTGTTGGAACAAAGTTCAACATTTACCACTTACTACATGTTGGTGGTCAAGTTGCTGCAGTATGTTGACTTCCCGCTTGAGGGCCTTCTGGACAAAATCCTTGTCTTTTTCCTTCCTCCAGAGGGCTTTCTTATGGAGGATCTTTATCGCTACCTGTAGATGCGAACCCAAGTTCATGTTTGTAATAAAGCATTGCTATATGCTGCAAAAAACCGGTGCAATAGCTCAATTAGTAGAGTGCTCGCTTTGTAACCGGGAGGTCGTGCTCATGAGTTCAAACCCCGGCCGGGTCATACCAAAGACTTTTAAAATGGTACGTATGAGAAAGAGTGCGGGAAGGTCAAACACACAGCACTACCAGTGGACTAGCCCCCTGCTATAGTGCATTGCACAACTGTGTGTCGCGCAAGGGCTACGAAATGGAGATGGGCACCACCCTACGCTCTGCATAAGGGCACGGACCTTTCTTTCTTTCTTTATATGCTGCAAATGCGTTCAAATTGGATTATTCTAATGTTTGTAGAGGGGAATTCAATGACACATTTATTGTTGTTATTCCTAGTTGTTACACGGTATCAAATTAGCCTCTACCAGGCTTCGGGAGGCGGATGGAAAGAGTAGAAATCTGTAAAGAGTAGAGGAATGGAACCCACCATGCCGTGTCCCCTGAGTCTGACGTCCTGTGCCAGTCTGTGGTTGTCTTTCGTCGCCTCGTCTTGTGCCATGGCCAGCCGGACCACGCCGAACGAGCCCGTCCCCAGTGCCTCTTGCAGGAGGTAGCCGTGCCGCTCACACTCCCACTGCTCCGGGTCTGTATACGTACCCGGCTCCATACCGCTGACAGCTGCCCGGCCTGGGGGTACGGTAGTCTCTACCAGACTAACTTACGCTGGCTATATATAGGAAAATATTTGCCAGGGGAGTTTGGCCGCCTTGTAGGTTTGACTGGTCGCTTCGTAGGGAAAAAAACTACTTCCCTGCGGCCGGACTCCCCTGGCCAATTTTACTCCCTTTTTGGCCGAATTTTACGATCCGTATTACCATAGAAAGGCCTGATGGAGGCTAGGGGTACGGAGTCAGGACACCACCGGGGGGACATGGGGAAGTTACCCTGGGAGCCAGCCTAGCATCGGGCCGTTAGTCGGTTTCCTTCGGTAGCCAAGAGCCCTTCGCCCGCCTATCTAAATTACCGCTACGGGGGAGTTGAGCCCGGGGGAGTTTGGCTGGCCCTGGCTAGTCTGGTGTCACCTCTCTA